TATATTTTATAGTTTGTTATATTTTTTTGTATTTTTTAATTAATTTATTTCAAGTGCATAAAATAATTTGCAAAATTTTCCATAACGAAACACATAAAATATAAATACGATAAATAAAATTTTAAATGTATAAGTATTTAATCAAGCATATAATAATAATATAATTATTATTATATATTTATATAAATATATAAATATATAGATAAAAATGCAATATATGAACCACCTACCTTATTCGTAGACTTAATTATTTATAATAAATTATTGTTCAAACAATTTTAGTATGTTTTTTGTCTGTCTCAATAAACAATAATGTATGTAAAAAAATAAATAAATAATAATTATTATTATTCAAATAAACCCATATTAGAGATTTTTATTTTTTTTACGATTTAAAAGTCGAATGAAATTTATAACAACTATTCTATATATAGTACACACGCTGATGAAATAGAGAAAAATTCTGTTAAAATGAGTTAAAAATAAAGATTACAGGTGATTAAGTAAAAGTTTAAAATTTTGAAAAATTATTATAAAAATATAAAATATTAAGTCTAATACTGTAGTATCAAGTTTTAATAAAAATCTTGTTCTAAGAGGGGTGAAAAATATCAAAATGAATTATTTGGACCATGTTTTTGCCATTATTAATAAATGTGGAATATTTCGATTTAACTTAAAATAATTGACTACAATTAAAAATTAATTATTCAAATTTTAACTATTAAACTTGTAATATAAATAATTTTCTAATATATGATTTTTCTTGAAAATTATTTTCAGAACAATTTCAAACGATATAATTTTTTTTAACACGTTAATCGTCATGTCAGCAATATGTGTTTTACACAAGTCATATCAGTGACATAAAAAATTAGTTTTTTTTCCAAAAATATCGGCAAAAAAATTGTTTTCGCTACATTAAGTTTTTTTGATACATTTTTACCAAAATTTTCTAATGAAGTTACCAAGGGTATTATGAATTTTTTGGTATTATCGTGGCAATTAACCTGTTAAATTCAATTACCCGACGTTTTCTTTCTAACATAATTAAAAAAAAAACTTATCATGGCCTATGTAAAAATATGTGAAACTTAAAGCTTTCATGGCCTATGTATTTTTTTTTACATTATCGTGGCGATTAACGTGTTAAATTTAACAACTCGACGTGTAATTATTATAATCAAACATAATTGAGGAAAAAAAATTAAGTCTGTCAAGGAAGTCTTCACTAGTCACCCAAGTTAACATGTACAAACCTTGATAACATCGTTTTTTTGTGCAAAAAAATACACAACATTTGTGCGTTTTTAAGTAAGATTCTATCCAAAGATTTCTATCCAAAACGTCTGACTGTACAGCAACCATATTTGCATTAGTACCACTTTATATAAAAAAAACTAGTACATAACATAGCATTGTACAGTTTAGTTCATAATGTGATTTCTAAAATAAAGTAAAACAAAAAAAAAAAAAAACAACCTTGCCATAACATCGTCCCCTCAATCACCAACATCCCTTCACCAATCTTTCACCCAACTTACCTTCATCATCTCCATCAACTCCACCAACCCTTTCACCTCCACCATAGATAAATCTTTTGAGACCACCACTATTTTACCTGAAATACCGTGACCGTCGCCCACAGGATATCATTGAAATGCTTCCTGTCGCATTCGCAATGGGGGTCCTTTGCCACTATTTCTGGGCACGTGCACTCCCTTTCGATGGGCTCGCCTCGCCTGTTCAAGGGCGGCAGACCGTCCTCGGAAGGGTCGCCGACGTAGCGACAGAATTTACCGCCGAACAGGTACATGCCCAACACGCTGAGGGCGGCGGCGGGGCAGTTAGTAGTATTGAATATGTTAGTGGTGAATGGTAGTGATGGTAGTGATGGTGGTAATGGTGGTAATGGTAGTGATAGTAGTAATGGTAGTAATGGTGATATATGTATGTGGTATATATAGGTAGATTGATATTTGATTTGTGTGGTATGTGGAGCGATTAGAGTAAATAGTTGTAAGTGCCTTGTTGCAAGTTGCTTTAACTCTGAGACGTATATATGTGCCCATAATTATGAAAGTGGTCAAAGTCAAAATTAAAAAAAAAAGAGTTTATCAGTTATTTCATACCATATTAGTTTAAACTAAATGTATTCAATGTAATTTTTACGAAATTGTCAAAAATGAACTATTAGATAGTAGTTGTAATTTCAACATTATATGGAATTCATTTAGTGTTAATTATGAAAGTGGTCTAAGTAAAAAACTTAAAGAAATTATATAAACATCTTGAAAATTGCACGTGCCATTAGTAGCAAACTAGACCGCTTTTCGATTATTTTAATTTTAATTTTCCGCTCCTGCTACATACACTACGACGAGTGTAGCATGGAAATTTACCCCTAGGTTCAATTATAGATAAATCCAAATCCTTAGGTTCAATTCTAAGATAATTTTTTTATATAATATTGTTACTATAAATCTGAAATTTTAATATGAGAAATGATGACAAAACATACTCATAAAAATATATTTTCATAAATATTAAAAACATTTTCAAAATTGAAATAAAATTATAATTTAATATCTTTCACCTAAAAGAGGAAGACCAAAAATATACGGAAATATTAAATTACTTCCCTTATACACCAGCATTAGACCAGTATCGGAAAAAAAACAAAAATATTATGAGTTCACTACCGCACATCCCTCCTGTTTTTCATAATCATTTTAAGAATCTTAAATACTCGAAATAATGATGAAAATGGATTACCGTTTGAAAATAATTAATAAATGCTCACGAATTATTTCAATAAAATTATTGTTTCAAATAAAACTCAAAGTTCTTTATTGCTTTAAGTCATTTATAGGACATTCAGTTAATTTTGAAAATCATCTAAGTCAATTCGACCTTTAAAAACAATATTATCGTAAGAAATTTACACAAAATTTCATATTCATAATAAATTTAAATTAATTAAGACTAATAAAATTAAAAATTGAAATGTCGCATAATGTCAAAATATTTTTTAATTTATTCAAATGCAATTCATTAAATATCGTGGAACAAGAAATATATGAATTAGACCACTTTCATAATTATGGGCACATATAATCAAATTAATTAAGAAGGATTTGGATTTAAGTATTTAGATAAAAGTTTCATATGGTTATTTTAAAAATAACATTTTCGCTTTTACTGAAATATTAGGTTAAGGAAAAAGAAGTCAATTATTTTCATACGAACTTCAGGACTTTATTTAACAGAAATTTTACACAGGTCTTCGAGATATCGTTTAAAAGGTATCGAACGAAGGATTTTCTTTTTGTTTAATTACAACTATTTAAAAAAAAAAGAATGTCGAGAAATTTCAATCGATACTTGCATTTTTTATAAAAACGTCTGCCAAAAATCCAATTTTCATTTTTTTTCTTTTTTCCTTCGTCCAATACCTAGTTTATTGTCTTTACTAAAACACGTATTTTTTATTTTTATTTCGGATGATCCTGAAAGAAGTTCTGCTGAAAACGCGGAGGCCATTTTTTTCCAAGGGACTGCCGGAAATGGCGTCGTAATGGCCGCGATTTTGATATTTTTTTTGAAAATTTAAAAAAGTGTTTATTAAACATGTATCTTTTAAATAAAAAAAAATCATTAAAATATTTCATTTTTATATGTGAAAAACATAATTGAAAAAAATCCGTTTTTTGCCCGAGGAAACCCATAAAACCCCTTAAGGAATTGTTTGATCAATACTTTACGAGAAATTTCTCTTTTTTTGATTTTCAATTGACGTCTTTCAAACATACTTATAATATCTATAATAGTGTAAATTAATTTGTTTAACACATTTCATTTCGTCTATTTTGGTTTCTAAAAATGTATTTAATTCAAATGAATTTACTCGAAACGTCGACAAAGCTAAAATTTACGAAGTCAGATTTTTTTTAAAAATAAACTGAAATAAATTCTTCGAGAATAAATACACTTTCGCTGAAATGCTCACAGAAAGTTTTGTATAACTATGAGAATTTGTATGAAGTAGTGTCAAGTTTACACATTTTAAAGAAATATTTTGATATTTTTCCCCAGAAATCAATTTATGTACCTTATTAACAGATTCATAAGTACCAAGAGTCGCTCCATAAAAATCAAAAAATATTTTGAAAGATGTTTTAATTTGGTTTAAATTTATATTCACGTAAAATGTAATAATTCATATATTTCGCAGCTCTATGAGTTTTTGGAGATTTTTTTAAATCTTTTTTCTGCTAAAATCGATTTCTGTAACTTGAAATTCATTTCGCATAATTGAAAGTAAAATTATTATTAAAAGTCCTTTTTATTAATTTTTTAAAAACTAGATAAAGTATTTTCATTTCCCAAAAATATGTTATACATAAATTTATAGTTTTTTTCAGATTTTTATCAGCAAAATGTAAAAATTTATATGGTTTGCATCTCTAAGTGATTTATGAAGATAAATTTTGATATTTCCAAATTATTCATTGTTTAAATCAAAATATAATATCTAAATCTTAATCCCTCAAAATTGTAAATCGATAAAAACTTACATACAAAATTTCATTATTTCAATTACAAAAAAATTATTATAAATACATTATTTTATCTTGTTTTCCACATATATTACATAACACCCACACTTGCAATTATATATTAATTTCCATATATATCTGTGGATTAAATTAATGATTCTGTAAGGTAAATATTTATTGTCGAACGTTCTAATTTAATTATAATACCAAAATCTACCCCTTCAACCCCGAAAATAATGAATCAATTAATTATTTACATACGGAATTTTCATATTTACCTAAACCGTTGGGGATGGTACAAAATAATTTGGGGATGGATTAGGAAAATTTTGGACATAGATTAATTTGTGGGAAAAAGATAATTAAAATGTAAATGTGTCAATTTTTTATACATATATATATATATATATATATATATATATATTACCCAAGGCTAAAAATTATCAACAATAGCAGCCAAATAATTATTTAAAAATAGCAATTGCAAAATTTTAAATATAAAACCACATAAATATTTTAAAAATATATAAAATATCATATATACCTGTTTTTATTATAATATATAAACAAACAACTCTTTTGTTAATAAAAGTTAGCACATCTTTTATATTATATTTTGTATTAAAAAAAATATTTTGATTGCATGCAAGAAAAATCGTAGTTTTATATAAGAATTATATCTTAAATTATAAAAAAATTCCGTAAATTATTTTAAACAGTAAATATTTTGTAAATTCAAATCATACGATTGTTTCATCCCTTATCTACAAAAATTTATATTTTTAAGATAAAACAATCGTATACACTTGATTCAAATAATTACCTGTTAAATAAATATATTTAAATTTATAAAATTTAATTAATAAAAACATTCCCATGCCTAGAATCTAGTTTAGAAAAAAGATTTGTAGAAAAATTATGCATATAGAAAAGTAGAAGAAATATTTAAAACAAATGCAATTTTATATATTAAACTAACAAATACTACAAAAATAATTTACTTACCTTATTTTTGAGGACTGTTTTATATAATATATATCTTAAAATATTGCTTAATTTCAGACATTTTTGTTTTGTGTCTTATTTTGAGCCTAAAATTTTGTGTATTTTGTTCTGAAGTCTTTTTGTATAAGTCTGTTTAATAATTTAGTAACTAAGATTTATAAATTAGTTTTAAGTCTATATTAAATATTTATAAATTTAGAAGATAATTATATTTTTAATTTGAATTTCCTGTATTTCTTTTACATTTATTTATTTGAAAATAATTTTTTTCAAATTTTTGTAGGTAAATATTTTAGTTGGAAGTTTGTAGATTTTTAATAAAATTAAAGTAAAAATGGTATTAATATATTTTAGTAAAAATATTTCAAGTGATCAAGGAAACACGTGATATATATATATATATATATATATATATATATATTTATATTATATATATATATATATATATATATATATATATTCCAAACTAATTTGTAATTTATCACTAAAATTTATTAGTTATAATTTTTATTTTAATTGAAAAAAGCAGAATTTTAATAATACAAATTGTAATAACAATAATTTATATTTTGAAATGTATTTGGCATGAAAATAAAAAATAATTTTAAATGAAATTTAAAATTAACTAATAAAACTCTATATTAAAAAAAGGCTAATGAAAAATTGAGTTAAATTAACAACAATTATATAATCAATTATTATCATTATATATAATCAATACAATAAAAAAATTGAGTTTTTTTAAACCCAATTAAAAAATGCAATTCGAAAATAATTAAATTATACTATTGCAGCAAAAATTTTAACTAAAATTAAAAAATATAATATATTTTTCAAAAATAAATAACTAAAATAATTAATAATTAATATATTGAATATACACGAATGAACAAAAATTAAGTAAAGAATATTAAAAAAACAGTAATTTGAAAAAATACTTTAAAATCCATAATTAAATAATTAAAACAATTTTAGTTTTGTAAGGTATGTATAAAAATAAGTATTTTCTTAAGAATAATAATGTAATAATTTCAATAATAAATATTTTTAGAAATAATAAGCGTGGAATTTCAAAGTATCTGTAGCAAAATATTTAGCTAAATAAAAAAGCTAGATAGAGATAATATCAAATGGGCCATATAAATGTAAATTAGAAATTAAAGAAAAATTTCCCAACCGCCAAAATTTAAAAAAAAATTAAGTTAAATTAAATTAACATTACCACAATTATGCGATCATATATCATAAGGAAATAAAAACAT